ACGCAACCACTGACTGTATGAGATGGCCAACTGGGTCAGCAGGCTACACACAGTCAGTGTGTGTTTCCAACGATTCAAATATGATTTTATTCGCGGTTATAATATATTTTGTCTTTTTAAAACACAACAGGCTGTGTCATTTCAGGTCTAACTAGTGTTTAGTGATCCTCTGAGCACCTTTATGAATATATACACAAATGCTTACGGGTATCCAACACTTTAGGATGCATTGACACTCTCGTGTCCCAGTTGTAAGCGGTTGTTAAAACACTAGTACTGAAACAAGCACGCAAAAAAAGCCAAAACAACCATGAGAAAATGTACACACTGTGGGTTACTCGTTTTGATGCACGCTGTTCTCTACCTAAATGACCCACTTCGCCTGATCGCAAGGGAATCCCGGTGTTGGTTTCGGTTTATATTAAAACAAAAAGACGGATAGTACTTACATATATAGGCAAGGGCCATGGGTAGCCTGCAGCTTCGGCTCCGACCGGCGACTTCAGTTTTAACTCCAGCTTTTCTCCCATTCTCCCCAGTACAGCTAATGGACGAGACACGAGCTAGAGTAAGAGCATTTTCCGTGAAAAAAAAAAAGCCGGTTTAACGCGATATGATCTCACGTTGGATATCGCAGGTTGGGGGTGATTTCACAAAGTTGTGCCGCAAGATTTGGTCGATTTGGATCCGATCTGCCCCGGTGATTTAGAGAAAATGATCGATTAAGCCGAGCGGCTGCTCAGTCTCGGCAGTACCGCCGCCATCTTGACCGGCTCACGAATGAAAAAAATGCGCCCGAGTGTGTATGTGTGGAAGTCCGATTCATTTCCGCGAATCGGTTCTTTCGAACAGTTCTTTTCAAGGAATAATTTCAAACGAGTATTTTGAGTCATCAAATAGTCATTGGTGTCCCATATGCATTTAGCCTACATATCATGAGTGAAATGTTTTAATTAAACGTTTCCTCGATTGCTCAAACCGTTTCCTGAACGGCCAATCCGTTAGCGAATCGCTCACATCGGTTTTAGGAATCGGCTCAACTGATTCATTGAAAAGATCCGACTGACATGAACAATTCGCGCGTGCGAGTGTAACCCACAGATCGTACCAACAAACCCGAAAAGAAAGGGAGAGTGAAATCGGTATGTATAAAACTAGAGGGGCGAGGCGTCTGTTCTCTGACACACAAACGGCGGGGATTTCTCCTCGACAACTCTCTCACATTGGCTGGGTAACGATGACACGGATCAACAATTAACCGGGCAGTTTGAATCAGGATACCGGTGCCAATAACCGTTGACTGGGCGGGACGTACCATTCCCCCCCCCCCCAGTGCATGGACCGAATGCAAAGAATTCATGTTTACCATCAGGATACATTTTGTGGGCCACTGCTTTTAAATGCAGTTTGAAGGTGATGTGAAACTAATATTTAGCTATCTTTTTAGTAATACTTTTTATTATTTTTTTGTTAAGATTTGAGAAAAGAGACAAAGTTATTATAAAGTAGCCTAATTCAACATTACACCCCCCCCCCCCCCCCTAAAATGTATCTATTTTATACCAATTTATTTTTCCAACTCTACTGTCAGATCAAAATTTGCCACAGACACATTTAGAGTGACTAAATCGAACCAGAACGCATAAATCTACATTACCAACCATATCAAAATATTGATAAAAGCTATACTACTAAAATAACACTGACTACTTCTGGAAACACTTTCAAATAAGTCTGATTTTTTTGGGAACTGAACTGATTTAACGATTTGTTCAAATCATTCAGACTTCCCTAAATGTACTTTTAGGTTTTAAAGTGAAAAGTTTCTGCTAACTAATGTGACTTGTTGCGCGATATCAGATTCTTGGTTGTGGACGATTAAAATGTCTCCACGATCTGCTTTTAACAGTGTATTCTCAGTTGCAGTATCTTTCAAGTCTTATTGGGTACTGCCAAATACACAAAAATGTTACACAAACAGAGTTGGTTGTGTCTAAAGTGAAAGCAAACATTTGAGAGATTAGATGCGTGCCGGTCTTAAAGTGACAGTAGCCTAATAGTAATAGGGATAGGCCTAGTTCACCCCAAAATGAAAATTCTGTCCTTATTTATTCAACATGCACTAATGCTACATTTTTCTAAATGTCATAATCATTTGTTTACAAACAAGTATCCATTACTTCACTAGACTCTCCCCTGTGAAGGCCTCATCGACACGACAGCCATCGACACTGATCCTCAACAAACCCGTCTCCATACCGGCGTGATGTCTCCGATTCTCAACCAGATGGAACTGGATAATATTCTGAATGTCCAATCCAATCTGACCTATAATGCTGGCTCAATCATAAACTGTTGGTTCGTGGCCAGAGGAGAACTGTGGGCTGTAATGCCCAGTCACTTGCGAAATAGTAAAACCAGCGTGAAAAACAATTATAAAATGATAAAAGTGATAAAATCATGAATCATGATATATTTTTGCCATATCGACCACCCCTAACCTGTTGTTATTATTAGCCTACTATTATTAAATATACATTTCTGATTTAGATTGTGGATTTCTCAACATGAATCACGGCATATTAAAGTCTTTTAAAGATATACGGCTACTGAATTACTGCACAAAGCAAAAACATGTGTAATCCACCATAATACTCTAAAAGTTGTTGTTCAACCAGTGACAAACAGCTTGTATATGTATAGCAAACCCATCCCAAACATGGACTCGAAGCTATATTAAAAGTGCATTCCCACAATCTTGAGGGAAATGTAAATGTGGACAATTAGAGTGCAATTTGTGGGCCTAAGCAAACAGGAAGGAAAGTCTTAAATCTTGAGGGCGTCTTCCAACTGTCAGGGGGTTCGGTGTGTTGTAACGGGATAACGAGGACAGGCAGGGAGAGACCCAAATAAGCCAGGAACGAGAGGCTGGCGCTGTGCCAAACTGAACTCGCTGACTCTCATCGAGCTCTCCTAAAATTGAGGCCAACATAGCACCATGAAGGCAGCTGAGGATTTCACACGACATTTCCCTTATAGTATACATCCAAACGTGCCCTCTCAGAGTTTAGTAGGCCAGTGTTTATAAAGAACCAGGGGGTTGAGTGCCAATAAGGCACAAAAAGCCACTAGACGTGCAGTACACGTTATGATATTTCCAAACAGATATAGAATCATTATGCTGATAAACTGACCTACTGGCTGTAAATAAAGGCACTACAACAACTTGATAAAAAAACAAAACCTGTGCTGCCATCTAGTGGCTTTTGACCGAACGGTCTATGCATTTGTTAACAACAAAACGAGCAAATTGAGGCTAATTTTAAAGGGACAGTTCACCCCAAAACGACAATTGTCATCATTCACTCGCTCTCATGTTGTTCCAAATCTCTGAGTTTCTTTCTTCTGTTGAACACAAGATGATATTTAGAAAAATGATGGTAACCACAAAGTAAATGGTAGCCATTGACTTCCATAGTATTTCTTTCCTACTAAGTCAATGGCTGCCGTAAACTGTTTGATTACCAACATTCTTTCAAATATTTTCTTTTGTGTTCAACAGAAGAATCTCATACAGGTTTGGAACAACTTGAGGGTGAGTAAATGATGACAGAATTTAAAATTTTGGATGAACTATCCCTTTAATGGATGTAGCCGTAGGAAATATCGAATACGAGTTGAACATCACAACAAAGTCGTAAATACAAGTTTACGAGTTGGAGGCGTGTCAGTGGGTGCGCGATGACGTCACTTCACCCCCGGAACACGCCCCCGCAGCCGAGTGGCAAAACTTCCTGCAACATGACTGGCAAAACAAACGATTATCATATTAAATTAAAGGCAATTGGACTCGACAGTAATCCTTACAATTTACCAAAGAACCAGTGGTCCATGGACATTAACATGTGGCCAGGAATCAGGTATCCATATGTGCCTGATTTCGACGCCTGGGAAACACAAAGCAGCCTATGAACGTTTTATCTGCTAGACAACACTATAAATACAGTTTTACTATAAATGTAGGTAGATCAAAATCTAGATGATCACTTAGATCACTGTTATATTGCCATATCGCCCAGTCCTAAAACTTAAAGCATGATGGAATTATAGACATAAAATTATAACTTTAAGCTTTTTGGAAACGACGTGTAGCCTACTGGACACTTGGTAGTGCTTCAAGATGGGATCAAATTGACGAGGACATCATATCCTAGTTGTTTCTATATATTTTGTAGAAACTTTTAAAGTTATCTGGAGAACTGTCATGCAGTCTAGCATAAGGAAAACTGGATTTATCTAACATGATCCAAACATCCCCCACAAGACTTATCATAATGGATTTTTCTTTTAATTAACGTTGACAAAAACTTTACATTTACGCAGAATATAAGATGGTAAATATTGAATTGATTTGTCAATACAAATTATGACCTTGGGTATAATTTTACCCATGTTCCTGGAGGGCCACCACAGCCCTGCTCCAACACCCATAGTTTTCAAATAATTCTAAGGGACTTGATTAGCTGGATCATGTGCGTTTAAAGTTAAAAGCTAAATGGTGCAGGGTGGTGGTTTTGCACCCCAGTTCTATAGGTATTTAGCAGTGACGTTGTCAGGCTGTTTTTTTACAACATAGGCTAAATAATTGATGATATATATATATAAAAAAATATATAATAGTATTGTAATAACAATATAATACATCGGGAACTCCCGATGAAGGTCGTGAGACCGAAACGTTGCCAATAAAACATTTTTATATTACTTGCAAGTACTGATAGTGTGCGGGAGTTCCTTATTTGTAGAACTAGAGTTTAAAAACCCAGCTGTATTTTTGGGTAGTTAATTAAGAGAAGGTACATCTCCATCTTCCTCCAAAGAACGTGACTTGAACGACGTAAACTACTTCCCAACTCGTAAATACAAACTTCCCAAGAGAACTTGAACACACCCTAAGAAACATCATTTGGACACACAAAATAACACTTCAGAATAAAAAGCAAGTTTTCCAAGAATTTTATTGAAATACCAAGATAAATTTCAGTCCCGGTCCCTTGTTATTTCAAAAAGCGCGCTTTGGGTTTTAGCGTTGACATCGCAAGCCTTCGTCCCAAAAGCTCCTCCCACTCCCTTTATTTTTCATTTCTCTTTTGCTAAAACAGCAACATATTTCATCTGATGCAAACCTATACAACAGGTCATTTGGCACATTTCCCCCCCGGTTGTCTCGACATTGTTTGAAGAGTCGTAGCAGTTTCCAATCCAAACAAACGGCATTCGTATTTGTCGTTGAATTGTTTGCAGCATTTTCAGACTGTTTCTTCGGGTAACGTAAAAGACCGTGATTACAAAAATAATTCTCACGACTAAATATTTGTGGTTTACCTGGTAAATTTGTGATTGAGAATTGTTGATTTAAATTTCTCAATTGCTTTTAAACAATCGATTCAGAAGAGTCAAATTTGGCTTTATTTCAATTCTTCAATTGCGCTCCTAAAAATCGCAACAACTAATGCTGGCCAGGTAAATTCGGGGCAATTTGAGAAGTATTTGGCTTCAAATGCTCTTGAACATTAAACAGCAGTGTAAAACTGCTCTAAACACTGGCCTTTACCCTTTTTTTATGTCTTCAACAGTCAGAAAGCATGCATACACAGACAGATAGACAAGGCAAGTGTCTCCTTGCAACAAAACCCAGGTAAGAGTAACAGCAAGAAGCTGAGCAAAGTGCTGAATTTTAATATTTAAACATAAAAAGAGTTCAGATATCAGAAGTACAACTGATGCTTCAACAGGACCTGACAGGTGATCAACTTGTGGTCGAGCTTCCACGAGGCGGATGCCACAGTAATGTGAGGAGCACGTCAGAGGCTTGTAATGGATCCTCCACGATGAGATGCCTTAATGGAATTTAACAGTCATCTCGTAATGAAAATACTGTCTGAAATGGTCAAACGCCCCACAAATACTCAGTATTCAAGCAAGCATTGAATTGCTAAAGGGTTCAGACAGTGAGCGAAGGTTGCGTTTCTGCCGTTTTGTCTTCACCAACCAGCCCATTGGAAACACCATAGGGCTACATTAAAGGGATACATCCACCATTTTCTGGAAGAATACCAAGTAAGTTTGGCCACAGACGTGATGTTACCGTCACACTCGTAACTAGCAATATTGGATCACTCTAGATACCTGAGGGACGACGCACGGCTCACGTGAGGCACAATTTCGCAAGATTTGCCTGCACCTTTTACAACCACACCGGATTCATGATTCAATATGATGAGGGTTGTGATAAAGCAATATTTTTCATTCAAAAGCATGTGATATTGCAAAAAAGTGCCGACACTGGATCGCTACCCTCACTCCTGGAATGGCAAGTTCATCCGTATGGAGCTTTACCATGGCCGTCGCTTAATACTGATTCTGTCAAAGCCTCTAAACAGACGGTGATCTTCCTCGGATAGGCATCGGATTCATGTCCATTGCACGTGGTCTAGCGCATTGCAGCTAGATAGTGCCGTTTCAGACACTACAACACTCAAAACAAAAAAGAAAATGGGGAAAGTGTACTGCGATAGGGATCTCTTGAAATCCAAGGCAGCTTTTGCATAAAATACTGACTGATTAAGGAGATAAAGACCAAAGGGACGGGACAAGATGTTTAGCACTCAATCTGAGGAGTGTGAAATCATAATCGGACTGATGTATGCCTATGGAAGACCAAAAAAAAAGGAAAAAATAAATATAAAATAAAATATAGTTTATCATTAGGACCTTCCATTTTAGTACATACAGAAAAATAATATCCACTTAAAAAAAATTCTCTTCCTTTTTAGAAACCTTAAACTATTAGAATCTGGGAATGGCTGTTGGTTATCCTCGTTCGCAACGCCAGGAAAAGAGCTTCAAAGAAAGTTTTTCCTTTCACACATTCGAGAATGGAAGGGAGCTGGCAACCAATCCCATAATGCATTAGGCTACACAGGTAAGCATGGCTGAGTATGCCCATGTCCCACATCCCATAAATGAAATTCATGGGTCTGCATTGTCCTAACTAGAGCACTTGGCCAACTACAGAGGGGGGAAAAGAAATCAGTTTCGTGGCATTTTACATTAGAGCAACTTGTTTTTAGAGAAAACCAAGAAAAGAAAAAAAAGAAGAAAAAAATCCAGAGTTTGTTTCTTTTTCTCAAGGGAGAAAGAAAAAACAATGAGACAAAATATTGTTATTAGTGCCAGTTTTGAAGTTGCTGTTGATCATATTCTGCTATCAGTTTTTTAATATGTGCCAGTTTGTTGTGTAGATATTCACAGCGGTTCTTCTCTTGGCTATAGTTTGGATTAGTCTGTGAGAAAAGAAGAGAACGTGATCAGTATTTTAAACGCAAAGTATTATTTTTTTTTACAAAAAAGGTGGAAGAGACTGTCGGTTTACCTTTTTGATTTTACGATACTCTTCAAGTATCTGGTTGTGGATTGTCTGTGAAAAGGAGAAACAGATATTTTCAATGATGTTCCTGCTTTAATACAGTAGTTTCAAATGTGTAATAAGACCAGACAAACAAATGAGTTAGAAGAGAATCTCTATGATCAGCTTCTTTTACTAAATCAAGTTAGCGCCCAATCCTGTTAGCGCTTACAGCACAAAGTATGATTGACCAAAGTAGTAGCGGTCAAAAATCCCCACCTCCTGTTCAAGACACTCTACATACATTTCCTCCCTTGTTTCTGCCGTTTTTGTTGTTTTGTCAAACCATGTTGCTTAATTTTCCTAGCCAGATCTGGGAACACAGTTTTACAGCTATAATGCAAATGGCAGCTGGCACCTGACCTGCAAGTCAAACTGGCCGCAAGCCAGCGGGATAACTTCATTATTGAGCCCTATAAAGGATTATGACTACGTGCAGGAGAAATAAATGATGCCTCACGACACTCTGCTCTGGTTATTTAACATGATTGCCTCTAATCAGTCAGATGATTGTGTTGTATATTTCATTACTCTCCCAGACTAGATTGGGAGAGGCAAGGAGAAGAAAAACAGGAACAGTTTCCAATTTATCAAGATGTGAAGATTACAGTAGGACCCTGGATGAGTCAACTACCCTCTTTAATTTTTCATTTTCCAGAGGAAGACATGACTACTGGGATCAGACTGGGGGGCGACAGCATATTAATAAAAAATGAGTTGTAATCATATGCGTGGATGGATGCACTGCATGTTTGGTATGGGATTTTCAATAAAGATACCTTGTACTTGTCTGTGCCCTGCTGGAGTTGTTTGAGCTCGGAGTCGAGTATAGTGAACTGTCGGGTGATGCCCTCTATCCGTGAGTGGAGGCCCCGGTACTCGCTGTACTCGGAGTTGAAGTCAATCTTGTAAGTCTGACGTTGCTCTTGCGAGCTTATCACTGTGTATTTTCTGTAATAGGAAACCATGCGGAAAAAACATCAGTTTTATAAACTTCATAAAAGTTTAATGTTGTTTTCAACTTTTTTTTTTAGAACAAACCTGACGCAAAAGCTAAGTGAAAAGACTGTTCCAACTTGAAAATGTACAAAGAGGTGCTTACAATAAATAGTCTGTTGACTCTGATGAAGATGCAGGAATGCTGGAGCTGTTGCACGTTCCGTTTAGACCTGAAAAGAAAAAAAGAAAAGTGATTTCAAGGACAGTTTTATCCTGCAGACTAAGGGACAAGGACAATACGCCATGACGTCAGTCCACACTTATGCTGGGAGAGGAAAAAAAACTGCTAAAAACAATCTGAAGAGGGATGTGCAAAACTATACATTTTCAAAACAGACTAGTTGGAGGGATGTTCGCACTCATCAACCTCACTGGTTGACTAGGTCAGTTGTTGAACTAGTAAGTGGACTGTCTTTTGACTTTTCAACTTACTGACTAATCAGAATTGATGGACAGTCTGAATGACTATTCAACAACTAGCTTGTCGGCTATCTGAACTACTATTTATATAATTAACCTCACTAACATACTTGTCGGTAGGGATGTTACATTCTGTGCCGACGCTTCGGAGCATGTGTCGAGAAATCCCGGGAGATTTCAGTGAAGCGCGTATCGAGGCTTGTATCGCTTTAGACCAATGACGTCATTGATTGCGTCCGAAGCCTCGCTTCGGCCTGACTGGTTCAGGAAGCGGTTCGAATCTTGCCGTGATATTTCGAGAATGTATATAAACCCAGCCACTTTCCAGTTTTAGAATAATAATATCGGCCGTCCTTCCTATTATGACCAAAGTATTGATTTAGACATTTGATAGTCCCATATTTCAAGCTGTAAGACTGGGAAACTGGTTGAAGCTGGAAATTAACATTTGGCCTTGTAAGAACTGGTTGGAGACACTGTCTTGACCACATGGTCTATTGAAACAAAGGAACTTGCTGAAATAGCATTCGACCTCCCCCTCACGCAGTCTCACCTGATTTACATTTCACCCAGTAACAGCTAAAACTCACATAAGAATATATATATGGTTTAATGTGAATGATTATCATTGAGTATTGTGTTTAGTACCATTTTAAAGGTCTCAGGGTGGCTGGTACATATGTCTCATTTCCAAATAAGTAAAACAAAAGGAAATAAGGGTTTTAAGAGTTTAGGAATAACTGGCACACAAAGGAATGTGGTCTCTAGGCACTCCCAAAGGTGTAAATTCATGAATGCTAATTTCCACTGTCTTAGCGGATGGTAAAACTTCCTACCCCCAGTAGTGGTGGGGGAATACAGTAAATTTCCACTAAACTCTAGTTTTACATATGAAATGAGGTCTGGCTATTTAATGGAAGGCAGCAAGGGATCGTGGCTTTTTCTGTATCTCAGATAGCCCGTGGATGCTGAGTCGCCGAGACTCAGCATTCATGTATTTCATGCCGGGTAAAAGATTTTCCTCTTTGTTCTAGAACATTTGATGATTTGCATTGATTATCTTTCAATTGATTATGGAATTGTTATAATACATTTACCTGACATAATAAATTGTTATATTTGATTATTCTAACAGACTTTGACTTTATTTTCATAGGAGTTAAAAGGAATAGTCAAACATTAACGTATACTTAATGATGCACAGATATCATTGAAAAAACACTTTCATTTTATGGAGTCAGATGAAACGAGTTAATACATAAGACAAAATATATTATATTTAATTAAAAAATCCCTTTGCCATTGGAAAAGACGGAACGCGTGTTGAGACCTTCACCTCTAATCGAGGACCGCAGTTGGCTCGAATTAGACGGACTTACAAAGCCAATACGTTTATTACACAGTTATGTTATACAATCATTATATACCACCAGAAACTACACATTATATTTATATAAATAGATTAGTCTATATGGATTTATTTTTCCACCATTATTTCTAAGCCTTAACTGGTGCAAAATACAGTGTAGGCAGGTCATCTGTAATGTATCTGCTTGTTTTCCACTCTTTGACCACCAGGTGGTATTGTGAGGAAATGAAGCCTCGAGAAATGAACCCTTTTGTGAACCACTCGGCTGAAAAGCTTCAATGGGGCTTCAACTCGCCACCCCTACTTGTCGGTTGTTAGATTACTTATCAAATATTCGATAGATTGTTTGAATGACTTTCACTAATAGACCTTGCTAACAGGCCACGCTAGATGTTGGGACTATTAATCAACTAGTTGGTGAGGCGTCTGAATAACCATTTAGCTAATTGCCTTCACTAATCCAACTAGTCTGTTGTTAGACCATTAATCAAATAACTGATGGGTTATCTGAGCGACTATTCAACAAATCGACCCCACTAACAAACTAGGTCGGTTGTTGGACTACTAATCAAATAGTTGGTGTGTTGCCTGAATAATTATTCAGCGAATGACCTCACTAACCCACAGTGTCAGATTTTGGACTAGTAATCGCCTACTTGAATAGATGTTCAGACAGCCCACACCACCAATTAATCGGCCTCACTAACGACTAGGTTGGTCGTTAGACTAATTGACTAATTAGGGAGTTGTCTGAACGATTCCGCTAATTACTTCACTAACCGAATGCGTTAGTTGCTGGGACTACTTTTTGTTCAATTGATGGGCCTCCTCTACGACTATTTAACTAAACTTGGTTGTTTATTAATCAACTTTTTTGCCAAAAATACTCTTCAAAATACTCAAGATCCAAAATCTAGTCTATAATCTAATTGAGATTATAGACTAAATTCAAATGGGACAAAAGTTCACCTGCAGCATTCTGAGGTGCTTTGACATCATAACCCTTGACATTATAAATTATTCAGAGAAAGTAATCCGCACCTGTCCTCCTATCGCTTGTTGTGACATCACAGGTTTTCCTCTGATCCAAGCCATGGTCTTCAACTCTCCTCTCCTTCTTCATGTCCCGCTCTCGGTCTTTTTCCTTAGACTTGTCTTTGTCCTTGTGTTTTTTTGACTTCTTCTTAGGCTTGCCATGCAGTGAGAGTTGAGCGGTCCGGGTCTGAGATCCGTCCAGGCTGCTGTGGGTTGGGGACATGGGTCCCAGAACTTCCTCTTGCGTTGTGGAGCGAGGGGCGAATGACGGGGGCTGACTCAGTCTTTCCGCCACTGCCGCCTCCAGACTTTCACAGTCTCTGCCGTTGGAGTCGTTGCTGACATCCGAAAGGGGGTCAAAGGGTCGGGGGATCTCCAGCGGAGGGATTTGAGAGCTCGACGACGTCTCTGCCGCTTGAGAACTAGAAGAGTCCTTACCATTGGATGAGCTCAGTTTGCCGTTGATGAGCCCTGTAGACTTGCTAGCTAGATGCGATATTCTGGGTTTCTTATTGGCCAGGGGATCGATGAACTCTGCTGCAGGTCGTTTCTGTTGGCCACGAACAATGATGGTTCGTTAAACTGGGATGTTATTAAATAGTGATTAAATGTTTAGCAGTTGTTTACTAGTAGTGCATCATTTTGATGAATGATTTGATGTAAGATAAATGTGGGAGCAGGAAAGGATTAACCCTTACATATTTCCTCATAACACAAACAGATCCATCATAAAAGTACTATTCCAGCTTTGACGGGTCTAAAACGAGGCAAAAGGCTGACCTGAGAGGGTGAGCTGCTGGCTGGCTCTTTGTGCGGGCTGACCGGGCTCTCCACAGACACAGGGGTACTGCTCTGAGGCTTACACAGTTTTCTGTGGAGAATGTAAGACAAGGAATCATCAGTTTAAAAAGAACCAAGGAACAGCCTCAGTGAGATCAAAAGAACCTGACTAATCCAGAAAAGTGCTGCAGACTGTGCTGTAAAATGTTTACCTTTAATTGGTTTGCATGTATAACTCCAGAAAAATAAACTAAAACTGAGATATTAATTATTGAAGCATAGCACATCAAAATATCTCTGATAAAGACCCATCTGAACTTGTCTTGCAATTGATAAGCAATTTATTGAGAAGCAGATGGTTATGTGAATATCGTGTCCACAACATTGACAATTCCAACTAGTCCTCATGAAGACAGAATACGATGAAGCTGTTTAAATGTCACTTTGGCAAACGCATTACTGCACTAAATACATTTAAATGGCATAGCAGGAAAACAAATGTACTGACCAAAAGAGTCTTGGAAAAAAAAAGATTGACCAACTTGTGCGACATATATCATCAGTTAAAACAACATGTACATCGAAATATGGCCAGTGTAAATACATTGTGTCAATATATCGCAATACAAAAAGCAACAATATGTACCGTGGATAGTGACTATATATTGTGTATAGTTCACCCAAAATAAAAATTAATGTGTGAGAAAAAAAATTCAAGTTTAATAGAATTTTGGTTTTCATACTACATTAAACTACTATAATGTTGAATATAAATGTAGCTATAATATTGCAATGGGGGAATATTTGTGGGTCCTGATAATGCCAAATGTCTTATGCTCCCAGTAAAAAGTGGCCTACATTATTTTAAATATATCGAGTCGGTGAACGAGTGCAAGAATATTCTTCTGAAATAATTCTGTATTTATTTTCAGCTTCAGAATCATGAATATTTTTATTCTGGTGTCACTATTGTCCTTGTGCATTGGGTTTCCAGGCCCCAGTCCAAGCCTATTTATTTACACCCACAATGTTATATCAAATTTAGCATTTTAAATCAACAGTACATTTTTTTCATGTGTCTTGGAGTATCGCAATAATATCGTATCGTGATATTTATCTAATCGTGACATGAGTGCATCGTTACACCCCTAGTAAATACAAACAACTTTGTCAAGTGGCATAACTTTAGTGTCGTTGGTCAGAGTTCTGCGAAACACCACCACAGAGAATGGGCACTCCAATCACGTCAGATGATTTAATTTTCCATATAAATGTGTATTTTAACATCAAACATGGTAACTTAAATGCAAAAAAACAAACAAAAAAACAATCAGCCAAAGTTCATAATGCTGCTTGAGGTCAAGTGCACTGAGGGAGTTTGTGTGCATGTCAACAGGGGGCAGTACGACACGGGACAATGTGTCCCGATAGCAGGCCCCGCCTCCATCAAGGGTACATGGACAGGGGTCTATGCCTGTGAGTAGGTGGGCATGAGTCGCTATGGTCTCGATCAAACTGCGTATGCCCATGCACGGCCTGGCCTTGGACCTGTGCCACCAACACACGGATCAGCATGTGCTGGAATAAGGTTGCATCACTAACCTCCCGACTGCACACAGTCACGGCTCTTACATGACAGCACGTCGTTCAAGACCAGATGGGAAAGTGGGCGGGTGCAAGAGGGGGGTGTGTGGATGTAAAAAGGCCCGTCAGCTGAGAAGCTTCACCACCAGTCTCAAAGTGCAAGCGAGTGTAGTGTGTTCCACACGGGTGTTGGGTTTGTTTCTGGCAAATATTTTCATTTTGTTTTGAACAGATATCACAACACCATGTTCTCCCCGGTCTAGCATGTAGCATGGCCTCTCTAAATTTAGCTTCCAGGGGTCTTACACCAAAATAATCGGGCTGATTTTGGGCCAAATTCTCCCCTTCTGACAATCCTAGGTAAAGTCACGATAATCTTGATGGTTCTATAGATTATTTTCGATGATTTCCCTGTGGTGTGATGTGTGTTAAGAGTGATTCATTTTGCTCGGAAGTCTGAGCCGCACTGATCTCATATCGTAAATCTCCAACATGTTGAATGTTTAGGATCAGAAATCCTGTTGTGTGGGGGGAACCCCGAGGACTTACGCACAGGCACTCTGTAGATTGTCACTTGGAACGAAACTATACCCAATCAGAAACAGAGTTCTTGCCCATCGTCCGCCATCGTTGTATATTAAGTCACGTTTGACCACGAGAGATTTTGCGAGATTGCCCAAATTTTGGATTCGGATATTGCGTGTTGTGCTGTCTTGGTCACATCGCAGCACTCCACACACTATAGGTATAAGTCTATGATTTTTTTTATTTTCAAGTTTGTGGTCTCTCACATTTTGAAAAACCAATAAAAATCTGCGGGCCAGCCTTGAGTGAATAAAGCTGTACGATTACTGAAAAAACAAACAAATTCAAGCAATATTGCAGTTGAAATGCGTTGTGATAAAGAAAGGAGTATATTGTCGTGCTTATGCAAAACACAGGCACATGGCAAAGAATAAATACTCAAAATAATTTTTGCACACCAGGAGTGAGAAATAAAATAAAACAAATCAAGCATTTCATTGCATGTGGCAAAAGAGTCCTTAAACTTTACTGCAAAATGTATATGTATATGTATATGTATATGTATATGTATATATATATATATATATATATATATATATATATATATATATATATATATATATATATATATATATATATATATATATATGTATAACCAAGAAAGTAAAGCAAGAAAAATTGCTTTAAGAAAAAATTCCAAGGAAAAAATGACAGATAATTGAGGGTGGATATGAAAGTCACTGAAGCTTACCGTACAAGAATTCTCTTCAGAATCTGTTGGTCCATCTCAGTGTAACCAGGCCAGTCCTTCTGAACTTCCTTGAACAAACAATCCTTCAATGTGAAGGTGTTGTCCTTACTATTCAGGTTAGCCACCTACACCCAGCCAGGAAAAAAATAAAACACAGCAAAATGAAACAAGAGGCTTAAGTCTTTGGCTCTCTAAAAATAAGCGCTGTATTTCAACACCAGTGTAGAAAAACAAACAACACTACAACAGCGTGCTGACAGCCTCTGTATATTACATGCTTTGGCTTTATGCAGGCCTGAGTTTGTCCGTCTAGGTTTTGACAAATGTGTCTAGGTTGAGCCGTTATGTCCAAGTAGAGTTCAAAAACACGATTTAGAATGGGTCAAACAAACTAAATTAGTCAAACCAAAACCATAACTTTGAAAGAGGTTCTATACTTGCATATTACTTGTACTATTTATTACAGCATGCAGTATGGATATTGCATTTTAGAATATATGTAACAAAGCTATCAATTAGTATTTCTAGTGCTGGTTACGAACCTGTTGCAGGAGGCTGTCCAGTGTCTCCTTGTCCTGAGGAGACAGGCCTTCTTTCGTGAGCCGCACCAGCAGTTCGGGTTTGCGGTAGGGCTTGAGGGCCAGTAAATGCACTAGTCGCTCCCTCAGCGGCCGGGGCGGGCTCTTTTTCTGACTGCTGGAAACGATAATCGGCCTTGAGATCCGCCGCGACGGAGCCACATCTGACACACCCGTTATCGGCTTCCGGATTTGTACACGCTTACCTGAACAGTAAAGGGAAAAAAGTTGGTCAAAATGGACGTTAAACAAACAGAGGGTAGTCTCTTGAATGAGCAAGTATTCAAGTATATCAAAGTAGTAAAGAAATCATTAAAATAGTTCATGTGACTACAGTGGTTTAAATGTAAATGTTATACGTCGCTTCATAACATTAAAGTTAAACCACTGTAGTCACATGACTGTTTTAACTAGAGATGCACCGATTACAATTTTCTAGGCCGATCCCGATTTCCTATTTTTCCTGAAGTTTGACCTGCCGATTCCGATTTCATTTTTTTTAAACCACTACAGCACACACAAATATTTATTTTCCATCTTCTCTTTAATAGAACATAGAATATCCAACAAAAAAAATTTGATATATTTAGCAAACTAAACTTCTGTATGAAAACAGGTAATGGCAATAAAATAATATATAAATATAGCCTTGCAGTATAAAGATATATCACACACACACGCCTATTGCAATCACTTGTATATCAATGGCAAGTTATATTTCTCAAACAGTTCTTCTCTCATCTGACACATGTCCAGCCAGGCTAAACGGGACAAGTGGAGCATGTGCAGGGAAACGATTGGGAAATAATAAAAACAAGTTTAAATGGGTACATTTTCTATAAATATCTTGGAGTCTTCATTTTCTTTTCTGACATAGCCTAGCCTACTTCAGTTCTTGTTAAAACACACCAGACATAAATCCAGAAGGAGATGGGAGCAGGATTTGGGGGTAAGAATAGATTGGGACCTGTGGGGTCAATTATGTAAAGATAGGGTCACCTCAACCTTGAATTCTAGGTATAGATTAATTCAGTTTAATTTTTTACACCAGCTCTACTACACTCCATCTAGATTACATACATTTAACAACAGTATTTCAACCCTCTGCTTCAGATGTGGTACAGAAGGAGGGACATTTTTGCATTCCACCTGGTTGTGTCCTAAAGTTAAGGTGTTTTGGGTGCAAGTATGTGATAGCATATCACATATTCATGGAATTGATTTTCCAATGGATCCAGAGGTGTGTTTATTAGGCAATTTTACCAACTCTAACCTCCAAAACAGACAAGCTATTAAGCTTACTGAAATGTTGTTAATAATAGCTAAAAAATTGCTTTGAAATGGAAAGCAGTCACTGATGTGCCAATTGGATTGTGGTTGTCGGAGATTTGCAGCTGTGTTCCCTTAGAGAAGATCACATATTCAATGTGAAGCAGGGGTGACTTATTTCATAAAATCTGGAAACCCTTTTTGAATTATATAAATATAGTACCACATGACTTGATTGGATAAAGTTAATTTTCTAACTGTCTTACATTGTATCTCCCTTTTTAGTTTATTTTTTATTTTATTTTCCTTTTCTTTTATTGTTGTTGTTGTTGTTGTTGTTGTCGCTCTGTAGTTGTTGCCTTTGTGTTATGTCTGATGTTGGTTATTGTATTTGAAAAAAGCGAAATAAAAGTACAAAAAAAACAAAAAAAAACCCCCAAAAAACCCCCACCAGACATGCAAATTCTGTGCATTTTGGGCACTTTTTGGATGAAATCATATTTTGTCCATCAAAAGTGTGCTTTCACTTAAATTGAGCGCCGCAAAAATAGACTCGGCGCCGAAACCTGCGCTTCACTGTTGCTCACGCGACGCTCCTGCTCCCAGTGTGAATGCACTCATTGATTAACATACACGCCGAGAAAAAAAAAGAAAAAGCGTGTGATGCTGATGTTGCGCGATGTTAATCATGCGGCGCCCGAGTGCATTTGACGGCATAAAACCAGATTCCATGATAAAGCAGATCATGGCCGATCATGTGAAAATCGGCCGATTCCGTTGACCAGCCGATCAATCGGTCCATCTCTAGTTTTAACAATGCAACTTTCAAGGCCCAGAAAAGTAGTAAAGACAAAGACATTGCGGTCTATGGAGGGAACAGAAAGCTCTCGGATTTCATCAAGAAGATCTTTATTAGTGTTCCGAAGATGAATTAAGGTACTTACGGGTTGAGAACGACATAATTGTAATAATTTCACAGTTAATCTCCAAATTAATGTAGAAAAAAACAAAGACAGTATATTTCAAATACTTGTTTAATGGCATCTTTTTTTATGAATGAGGGTCAGTCTCACTAATACTAATACAGCTATTGATAAACTTCAAACAATCCTCACATGAACCCATAATAAATGTCATATTTACCTGTGCCCTTCCTGTCTAACATTTACAGAACAATATACAGAAATTGAATAAAGTTATCAAACAGCCTGCACAGCATAAATTAGATTAAATATAGACTAATCATTATTAAAGATACAAAAGTTCTTTAGTCAAGAGCAGTTAGTGATTTTCTCTGATCCCTTTGTTCTTTGATTAACATTAATGACAGAGAGAATTAGTGGCTGGTGTCCCTTTAAAACCAGCCGCTGCTGCACGATATCTCGCACGCTCCTCATTCACTCAACTCTTCAAGTTCATTTTAGACTATTTAACTCAAGACTGCTCTTATGTTATGAGGATACTCAACAAAAACGGACATTTTGGCATAATTGTGAGTGTTACTGTTCGTTCAAGCCAAGTTCAGGTTCAAAGTATTTGCACGAATAAGACTGGGATCATATAATGTAAAGCTAACCAAACGATACATTTTTTTTTACGGATGCTGCGTTAATTACGTTAAATGTTTTAGCGCGTTAAACGTGTCAGCCACTTCTGCTGGAATTTGCACGTTCCCATTTTTCTGGTCTAGTTTTATTCCTGTTTTTCCTGCTGTACAAAATGCCTGCGTCACCTCCGCATCACGGCAATTCTGGTCCAGCCGGAAGCAATTACCAAATTGGTTCCACGTGTTTATCACACTAACGTACATATTTTGCTACCGCAAATAAAAATGATTAATTGTGAAGGCTATTTTCAAATAGTATAACATTTTCTTCAAAACTGCCTGTGGGATTAAAATGTAATGCTTTTTAATGCTATTTTTTGCAAAATCCATTTAATGCTTTTTAATGCCCGGTGGAAACCCTGTTTAAGGACCCGCAGGGACCCTGTAATTATTTATTCCAATTTGAGGGGGCACATTTTTGTTTACTTTAGCTTTCACTAAAGATGAAGTCAAATGTGCCAGTAGTGTTTGATAGTTTTGTGCAAGTTACAGAGTACTCCATATAATATTTTTAGAGAGCACCGGAACCAACAGCTTCATAAATTATGTAGCACGCTGCAGTTTCAGACATGTGGAGACGAACTGGCTCTGATCTCATCCCCCCCCTCTTCCACCCGTCTGTGTGCACCATGTGTAAACAGATGGGATTTTGACCAAAACGAGGTTCTTCCGCTCAAGCCTTTCAGGAACAGTCGCATACATTCAAATGTGGCGGCCCAAGATGCGTCAAACCTACCCACGTATCTCCCGCCAGGCTTGATGACGATGGCTCCACGGCTGCGGGTCTCCTCCTCGGCCTGAGCCATGCTTTGCCTGGCTTTCTGGTAGGAGTCGTCTGTGGCGCATACCGTGATTTTGTCCTGGATCCCTCCCAGGCAGTCCAGCTGTATGCTCCCTTCACTGGACAGAAAACAAGCCTGTCAGACACTCCAAATGGCACCGACTACGCCACCTTCTCCCCAGTTATGCATTTCAAATGTGTTGCAATGGCTCATTTACAGCCCAGGTGGTTCTCTAAAGGGCAACACATGTAGAGAGGTTCCTTACGAACAGCTCATCCACCCTGAATCCCTGTCAAATGCCTTTGATCTGCTTGCCCTAAGCTTGGCAACATCAGATCACAGTTAAGGCACAGTGTTTTCCCACTATGCCAGTGCAAAACAGCAAGTTGGCAGGTTTTCGAAAGTAGTCGGAAGGAAGCCCTGTAAAAATAAGCTGCTAAGTCACTGAATATGCATAATAACACTGTTCTCAGCAGACAATTAGAAGTCTGACAGTAATGGTCTTGAAACGTTTTGATGAAGCAAGTGAATGTTGCGAAAGCGATGCTTTTATGGCTGGTGCTACAGATAAATTTAGAGAACTTCATGAGGGTTTATAGTGCACTGACAATGTTAGTAGGGCTGACTAGATTAGGGCTAGTTCCTCATTTTTCTGATTTTTTTTAGGGTTAATCTTTAATGAAATTCTATTTAAATTCATTATATAAAAATTTATATTTAAATTTCATGTAAAATATTTAATATGCATAAAAATAATTGTAAATGTAGATTTTGAATAAAATCAATTATTATTTTATTCAGAAAGAATGCATTAAATTGATCAAAAAAATGTGTCTATACATCTTAAATGATCTATTTATCTTTATATTGGTCACGCTTCCACAAAAATATAAGCAGCACAGCTATTTTTAACATTCATTAGAAATGTTAGTAAGGATGCTGAAAATTCATCTTTGTACCATAGGAATAAATTACATTTAATATATTACAATAAAAAAAATATATATTTTAAAGTTAATGATTTCACACTGTTTTTACTATATTTTTGACCAAAATGCAGCCTTGGTCGTGCTTTGGCCTACTTTCAAAAATAAAAATCTTACTGACCCCAAAATGTGGGACAGTAGTGTATATTTATACAATTTCTAATTTAATAAATGTAAAAAAAAAAAAAATTTAACTCAGTCAACCTAACCAACCATACTAAACTGGCACACGTCATGTGATCTAGTGGCTAAAGATAAGGTGAGACCATCCGCTTGTTAAACCTGACATCATGCGTCACTGCTTCCGGGTCCAAACGCTCTACCAGACGCCCCAAAACAACAAACGAAGCCAATATACACTCACAATGTGATGTAATACTACCGAAAAATAGTAATCCTAACCTTTAACTTCATAACGAAATCCAAGATGGCCAGACAGTGATTCATCTTTTATAAATCGTGTCTGTGCTGTGAGCACGGGCCACACCGTACGTTTTTAAATGCTTAGCTTAAATGTGTATTATGAATAAATAGTGCTCAAACAGCTTTTGAGATAGTATTCTCAAGTGAAACGAGTAGAGGCTTGGACCTGGAATGAGCATTCCTTACATCATGATTTAACAAGCGGATAAGATCAAACCCCAAAAGGGTGATCCAGAATTCAAGGTCTTTGTCAGCATTATATAACGATCTTCAATGCTGGGAGGCCTGTCCATGTAGTAAAAAAAAAAAAAAAAAGAAGAAGATTATTTTCATTAAACAAAAGCTATAGCTAAAATGACAAATTAGCCAAGTATGAGGTGTGAGGTTTTTTTTAATTATTATTATATTGTACCTTTATTTAACCAGGGAAGAAAACCACATTAAGATAGATATCTCATTTACAAGTGAGCCCTGGCCAAGATAGCAGGACACAGTAAACATAATAAAAACAAACAAAGTAAGATTAAATGCATAAAACAAGTCACAACACATATACACTAACACACTCACACACCAAATAAAACAAAATTAAAAGTTAAGAACAGGTGCAGACAGTTTGGAACGTTTGATTGAGATATAACTTAAACTCATTGATTGAAATAAATACAGTAAGTTTCAACGATCTTTGAATCTCATTCCAAGCAGTCTATAAATAAAAGCAGTTTTTCCAAACTGTGTCTTCATTAAGGGAACATTTAAAAGAATATATCTACTTGAACGCAGATTATACCCTTGACTATTGACAGTTAATAGACTAATCATATACAGAGGAAGCTGACCAACTATGGCCTTGTACACAAGTATAAGCCAATGCTTGTACCTTCTTAAGTGAAGTGAAGGCCAACCAACCATTTCATACAGTGCACAATGAGTATAATCATTTGTACGAGTTATAAATCTTAGAGCAGAGTGATAAACAGAGTCTAATGATTGTAAAAGAGCCTTAGTGGTATATCTGTAAAAAACACAAACGGCTTAAGATGGTTAAAAGTTGGACTAACTGTATGAGAAATCCATTCACACAAATGTCTTCGAATTGGCCTTTTGTTGTGGATTTGTTGTAGAAAGAGAAACTCATGCAACATGTAACGCCTGAACTTCAGCTGACCCTTTGATCTTATTGTGAACATGGGAGGACATTAACAGCAGCAACAGTATGCATTCCCAGTTTCCTCCTCATTTGGTTGGACAATTGGCCAAATTCAATTTATTCTCTCTGTTCTGGTGTTCATCCAGTGCTGAACAGTAGCGAGAACATAGAACGGAACAGATGGTGCTCGTAATGATACCATGGATGCAAGTTTTTTGACGTTGTCTGATGAAATCAAATCAACTGTTTTCATGGTTTTCGGTTTCCTTTCAAAAGACAAACGTACTTGTACATCAGAAATCGTTACACTACCTTGAGATGGCGTGAATCTGTCTGAATAAAAGATGGTTTATTTTCTTTCTTACCTTGTAATATACTGCTGAATGCAGTCGAAGCTGCCCTGGGGGTTGTCCTTCCCCACGTTGGACAGGTAGAACGTAAACGTTCGCAGCTCATTTGGATTCTCTGACTGCGGTATTGAGATTTTCTGTTGACACAGAGGAGAAGAGCAGCCAACATAAGCATTGAGACAGACGAGAGAGAAAACCCTGTTTAAAGCAGCTGGCCAGTACAAAATGGATTACACAGACTTACTTCTATAAAAAGGTTCAAGTTCTATTTTCAAAAATAAATGAATAAAATAGAAATATGAATGAATGAATTAGGGCTGCAACTACTATAAATCGACAACGCTGTGTTTGGGAAACCATGAGCCAGTCACGTCGCTTTACAGTAGCGAACAACCCATTTCTACGGACAAAAGAATTGGAAAACAGTGGAAATGGTATTTTTTCATCCGATTAATAGAAAAATAAATCGATTTTCTAAATAATCGCTAGTTGCAGCCCTAGAATGAATAAATTTGATAAAAATACTAATAAATATATAAATAATTCAAAACAAATTCTAGCAAGAGAAGAGAAAGAACAGAATCCTGTGGGTCATTGACTCTTTATCTGAATTCAATGCATGATGAAACGGTCATACATTGAAGTGAAAGTAATGGGTGATGCATAATGTTTTGTCAAATTAGTTTTTCTACATGACCAAACTGCAAATGTACTTTGCAAGAGTTGCACTTAACCTCTATTAAAACAACTGAGGTTTGTGGCCCTAAGGGGCCCTTCTGTAATCTCCTTAATGTGCAACCATACCGACCAACCTCCGGCTCCGGCAGCCGTCACATAGGTGTTTCAGCAGCACACCTGAGAAGGCAGCAAACAAACGTGTCGTGAGCCAAATTACACCCATCAACTGAGCAGCAGCTGTCAAGCACAGATGCAGCCGGGCTGGAAAGCATGGCCAATCATTTCACAGCAATTTCCTGAGATTCGTCTTGTGTGAGTGGCAACTCTACCTGCCTTGTTCCGACTCATGTTGTTTTATTTTTTAATTTCTTATTTAACAAGAGAACTGTGATCTCATCCACAGAGATACACGAGCACATTGTGCAAGCAGCAGGAATTCACTCAAAACAGCAAAAGTATACCTTTAATATGGGGGGAGGGATTAAATATAATACAAATTAATAGATAAAATGTTTGTATAAAATGTATATTTAAATAGTTATTATTATTATTATTATTATTGATACAAAATCAGTTTTATAAATTAAATTTAAATAGTTTTTTAAATAAGTAAATTATTTAACAATTACACAATTTAAATAATAATAAAATATTTTTATACAACTAAAATATTTATAAAAAGTATATTGTTATGAGTATTAGTTTATACATTCATTCGTTTTATCAATAAAATAAATAAATGGTTATATAATTAAAATAAGTTAAACACTTAATAAAAGATTAATCCGTTAATCATTTCTTCTATTATTTTTTTTATCCATTATATTAAAAACTGTTATTGCACATCCAGCCGAATGCTGTCCTCCAAACAATGTACAATATAAAGGCTATAAAACAAATAGTGAATGTATCATGTAGGCTACGCTATACATTAAGTGTTAAAATAGAACTTTCTAGAACTTTTTCCCGCAGAGGCCCAGTTAACAGTAACCCGACAACATACGCTGAGCACTGGCTGTTTACCCAGGGTTCCTCACACGTGTGTGGCCTGCAGGTGGCCGACTATAAATAACAGCCAGTGTCCGAGGCTCACACTACCAGCCCGAGGGCTCCCTCGGCTCAACGCTTTCCTTCGCTGGCTCACACGCCATTTTTCACACACCCACATGAGATATTCAACAAGCAAAGACGGCGGGTCCATAAGCTCTGCCACTTACAATCACTCAGTGGTGTCGCAATAAAAGCTGTTGATTTATATTAGCAGTTACGGCTTTTATTTTGTTGTGTTTATTATATGGCTTGGCTGAGACGTTGCCGTTTAATACTCTTTAAGAAATACAAATTGCAATTCATAGTTTCTTCATTCAGAAAACATGACGCAGCTGCTAACCTCCCTATCTAGACGAGCTGTGCTTTCACTGACAGAGAAAAACCCACAGAAGAGAGGAAACGCTCTCAAAGGAAGAGCTTGCGTCACAGGCCCAAAACATGATGTACTTCAAAGAACAAAATCCAATTTGATTAACAGTCAGTGCAATTAACTTATAGAAAAGTTATTTTAAAAAATATTTTAAAATCTAATATATTCCTGTGATGCAAAGCTGAATTTTCAGCATCATTACTCCAGTCTTCAGTGTCACATGATCCCTCAGAAATCAGTATAACATCCTGATTTGTTGCTTAACACAGAAACATTTCTTATGATCAATGTTGAAAACAATTGTGCTGCTTAATATTTGTGAAAAGTGATTAAAAAAAAAATCAGTATTCTTTGATTCATAGAAAAGTTCAAAAGAACAGCAAAACAATCTTTTGTAAAATTATAAATATCTTTACTGTCACTTTGGATCAATTTAATGCTTGCTGGATAAAAGTATTCATTTCTTTACTTAACCATCCATTCTCTGGACTTATGGTCACTTTACTATTGCAAAATGCTGTAAAAACCACTGAGCCTTTTGGAAAAAAATCTCCCAAAAGGTTATGAATAAACTCATCACAAGCAGCGAAAGAGTGACGTTACTGGAGTTTCCCCTGGGCTCAACTCTGGTCCAAACCAGGAACAAAGCTTCTTCTTATGGTCATATGGCGGCACCTCTGCTCCTCTGACTCCTGGACATGAACTTTGCCTTGCTCATTCAGAGACCAGGCTGTCCACATAAAGCTCATGGATGCACCTGCCCTTTGGAAAATTCAACCCAACCAATTTGGTTACCAATGCAGGGCTGATGGGCCTGCCAGAAAAACACATTTTGTCTCAAGGAACATGTGCGACCGGCCGCCTCTCCATCCTTTCTGGTTCGCTGCATCCAAATAGCATTTCAAGGTTTCTCATGCTGTCTGCCTCCTCATAATATGCCACTGAAAGCTCTGATACAGCTTTAATTCAACAAGCAAACAGGCAGTCTTATCTCACATGTGACGCAGTGAACCGTGGCGGAGTGTGAACGTGCGGTTCCAGATGAGTCAGTAAATACACCAAGTGAAATCCTACTGATGATTTATAGACAAACCACTATACATCCCATGCTTCAGAAGAGCAAGCATCTTTGACAACTGACTCTCTCAACTCTTTTGACAGATACTTTGCCAAAGCAATGGTGCAAAACACAACGTTAAAGAACTTATTAAACTAAAAGTATATTAATAATGGTCAATAACTATTAGCGATATCACACGACACTTATTTGTGTCATTTTTATGGTGCATTTCCTGTAATGTGTAGCGATGGAACAAAATCCTTGGCAATAAGCCAATAATTTTTATTCACAAAACTCATTCACAAACTTCATTGAATATTTTAATAATAATAATAATAAAATACATTACCGATAATCATCGGTCGCCAATTTTCTGGTATTTAACAGTTTGTGTATATTGTTATTTTAAGTGCTTTATTTAAATTAAATAGTACCGTAGTTTTTTTTAATAGACATTTATCAGTTATTGACCAAAACATGAAAATTATACTTGGCTTATTGGTATTGGCCAGAATTATATAAAAAAAAGAAACATCACAAGCAGCCTGTAGATTCTACTCAACTTCTCCTTGTGTTTCCAACTAAAGAAATTAGGGCTGTCAACTTTAGTCGTTTAGTCGACTAATCGGTCGATGCCGTCTTGGTCGACTGACATTCTTATTGGTCGACCAGTTGCATTTTTTTTTTTACCAATAGAAAGAAATTTTCAATGATTTACTCCTTGATATTTATTCCTTTATAAGCAGTTAAATATTACTGTATTCTAAATATAATTAGCCTATGGTTTATCCCCAACTTTAAATGCTTTAATTTAGGCTATTTTGTAACAGCGCCACAGTTTAGCGCACACACATAGAACACTCGGTTCGCACCTGTGGCTGGCTGCGCTGCTGCTTCGTGCTCAGTAAGGGATATAGGTAGTTTAGCTGTATTCATTCAGTTAGAACGCTACTTGTTTCGGTTTTTATGTTTTTATACACTATATGTTTGTATCTCGATGCGGCGTGGACGCACTTGGAAAAAAAAAAAAAGAGCGCGTCGCACCGCGACCGTTGCTTCCATCATTAGCGCACACCGCGCGCCTACATTTGAAATCGAACTTGAGCGCGCAAAAGACGTGAGCAGGCCCTTTAACGGCTTTATCATGCTGACTCAATAGATTGTGTTTTCTTGATATGTTTTTGTTTTTATTTGTACACTTGACGCATTTTAAAATAGCCTAAATAATGTAACAAAACGAAAATAAACCTATATGCGGTCCTACAATAAAGCCTATTATTATTAGGATTGTTTTTTAGGCTCTTTGGGTTTTTGTGTGTGTTTGTTTTAAAACGCCTAGATAGGCTGGACAAAAGTTAACCTATAGCTTTGAAAGTAAAGAAGAATATACAGCCTGTATAAACGAGAGCTTTTGTTAGGATTTTTCATTGTGGCAGATAGCAGTTATATTTTTTGTAGCGTGTGGTGTGGTCAGGTGCGCGATTGTGACTGTCACTATAGACCTAGGACAGAGCTCCTCACTTTTTGCAGTTAAAAAAAAATCACTTAATTTTCAAAGAATTGTATTATTATTATAGTTTTATGTATTTTTGATGTTTTTTCGTTGTTGTTTTATAAATGCTCTATGACAATTGTTAAAAAATGTTCAATCAAAACATCGCGTCTTTTTTTTTTTTAGTCGACTAATCGTTGCGCAGGACAAGACTTTGGTCGACTAAGGATTTCTTTGGTTGACTACAGCCCTAAAAGAAATAAAGTAATATCGGTTTCGAAAGACATGAGGTTGAGTCAATGACAGATTTGTCAGTTTATTGGCTAAAAGTCTGGGAAACATACGCCTTAAACACCTTCTGTCCAAATGACAAAACGTGCAACAATTGCAGTCATGTTTCTGCATGTTTCCATAAGAAAATTTCAGTTTAAAGTCACCGTGATCCAGACGTTGCGGCCAACTTTACTACAGTATTGACATTTGAGTCAAACTGAATATTAAATAAAAAAAGAGGGTGTGGCTTGTTTTTCCCTGCTGGGAATTGATTGGATCTAGAAAAGAGGGCGTTCCATTCAGCTCATTGTCAAAGCTCGCAGCAGACTGACAGTTGGAGAGGATGTTCAACCCAAGCCGTCAATCTGCCGAGAAGAAAGGCCATTCTAGAGGGGAAGTACATTTTCAAGTACATCAACTTGATCAGCACAGATGAAGAGTTCATCACAAGACTAGTAACGTGCACTAACAAAGTAAATAGGGGTCAATTTTGATTTCATGCCTTCTGAAATCAGTGCGAGGCAGACAAACCACATTATTCAACATATGCAGATAACAGCAACATGAACATTTATTGGGCCATTCACTGTCAGGTCTGGGTTGAGCTAGAGCGCATGAAAAACCAAAACTAGGTGTACAAAAATCACGTAGTGGGTTTTGATAACAGAAGAGGAGGATTCATTTGTCGTCAACCACTTCCTGTACAGTATATGTCTGAGAAAATGGGTCCCGACCACTGTCAGTTTTGAAGAGTTGGAGATCCACACCAATGGCTGTCTATGACTTAGCATGGATTCACCGCTGATGTTGCAACAGTGAGCAGAGGATACTGTGGTTACTGCGATGTGATGACTTCCAGCTACACAGTTATCAAAGTCTCACTGCTTTCGTATTACCTACATAACCAGGACACTTGACGTTAACTGGGGAGAGTCCCAGGTTCACACAAGGTCTGTGGCTCCATGATGGAACATGACAATCAATGTTTCAAGTGGTTTATGGCCCCCCCAAAAAAGGTCGAAAATTGTGCATACTCACCCCTTGGTTTCCTGTGAATCCTATTAGTGGTTTAGCAGTCAGGCCCTGCAAAACAAACAAGATAAATTATTCATAGAAGAAATCAAAGTGAAATATATAATTATAAAGTGTGTGTATATAAATAATTCTATTTTGGATTACATTATTTATATACCAAATAAATACATTTATTGTTTTATGCTGACGGCGCATGGTTTTGAAATTATAAAATGAGGAATCATAACAAGATATGTTTTATGCATTTTAAGCTGACAAGCACTGGCATTTTCATTACTCAAAGCAGAGTTTAAATTTACAAGATGCTCTCAGATACTTAAAGGAGGAATCAAACACCAATAAACATGCAGACTGTTTGATCAACACTAGAAAAGCTCCACAAAGTGCTCCATAATACACTCCCGAAACCACGTCTGGTATTTCAGATTTCAAATACAGGATGTGCAAGTGCAATAAGAGGACGCTTTACAAGTAATTCCTCGCTTGAGCCATGAGGTTTGTTTCCCAATATAAAGAGCTTTAGCCCGGGCAAGAGCAGGGTTTCAGCAGGCACTCAAAAGACTGGAGCATGTACCAAGAAAAAAAACAATGTCATCAGATCAAACCCATGGCACTCAGTAAAGGCTAGTTGTTTATGACATTTATATAGAGCGTTCTGGAGTAATTACGTACCGGAGCGAACTACATCGGCTACATGGCCTTGAGTAGCGCAGGCAACTTGAATATGAAGGGTTCAGCTCCGGCCATCATTGTCTAAAGCAATCATGCCACCTACGACCCACTTCATACTAAATAACGCATCTTTTATAGACAAGTATTCATCAACAAAGCAATTTCAGTGTAAACACTAGATTCATCTGAGGCTGACAGAACAATCTAAACCCGAGCCACTTATAACGTTAATGTTGGAGCTGGAAAAGGCCAATTGTTATGGTCCATTCAATCAGCCAATCAAACGGCTGAATCTCAAACAAGGTGCTTTGGTGCTAATTAGCGAGGTAGATGAGCTGGAAACGTCTGGCTGGGTGATTCAGAACGAATTCCGTAAAAAGCGCGACATAGGAGTCTGAGACCATCTCGTCTGGTTGGTCGCACCAGTCACTGAGGGCTCGTTTCTTGGAAGGAAGCGTTTCTGAAACCACTGAGTGTAAACAAAACATGTCGCACTTCCTTCCTCAGATAATGCCGTTGAGGAGAAAAAAGGGAAACTAAAGAAAAATGAGAAGATTATACCAGTAAAGAGAACTAGAGGTGTTTTGGAGTGATAGTAAAGATGTTAGCCTTGTTATAATAACAAAAATCAGGCAGCCAATCAGATTCCAGCAGTTTTTCACATTTATTTAGTTTGTTAATCTATCACCACTACTGATAAAAACTAAATCTTGATTTATCACTACTACTGAGAAAACTAAACATGCTAGGGCTAAACGATTAATCATAATGCAGGTCAATGGAATGAAAAGGGGCCGAAAAAAAAAAGTTAACTTGAGCGGCGCGTTTTTAGAACACCGCGTCAGACAGCAAACGACATGACACAAATGTAATGGTTAAAGGCATCCGTCTAGCACATCTTTACTTTGAACAACAATGGAAAAGTAGCGCAGTGAAACAGAAAATTTAGTTGTGTGTGAACGGCCCTTAACCTTGCAGTTGTAAAAAGAAAATGAAAGCTCAACGGCTTAACGTTTGAAATGAAGACATAATTAGTACGTTAGTATAATTATTTTAACTTATTTTATAGCCATATTGATATATAAAAAAAATTTTGGCCAAATTGTGCAGTCCTACAAACAAGTACAGCAAACCTGGAGCTCAAAGAAGATTGCAATTTAAAATAAATAAAGTCAGCTTCAATTTTCCCCTCAAATTGTGCAGCTCAAGTTCTTAGCATGTCCTATACGTCAGCCAATGCGACTTGCAATAATAGTTTTTGTAATGTCAAAGCACAATGTCTAGTAAGTATCAGGCCTTCACACCAGCTAAACGTAAAATCGGTGTTTGTACAGTTCAGCTTTTCACCTTTTTATCCCTGCGAGAATAATCCAGAGTCAACCTGACGACTTGGGTAGCTGAAGTCACAAAGCAGGTAATGCAAACTCATCCAAATCTGGCTTTCTAAAAACATAGAAATATTGACAACGTACAGACTTAAAACTGGTCACGATCTCAAACAATCCGAGCTCAAATCGTGAGACTGCAGTAGCATGTTATCATGGCTCATTTCATCGAGTTTGGCAAATTGTACAAATGCATTGAAGCGCTGTGCTTGGTCCATGGGGTTCTGGCTCACATCAGGAAATGAATAAATCATCCTTTTGATTCCATCTGTGACTGAGATGCACGTGTAATGAAGACATTACAATGCAGGCACAGGCTGTGTATGGCAAAATCCAATGCAATAGTAATTACCGGCATCTGTACATTCATAGAAGTTAGGACACAGGAAAAATTAGCTTAATGTATATATGGACAATGTCGAGTCGTATGCATGTAATCCATCAATTCAGATTCAAATGAACTGCAACAGAGGATAATTAGGCCTGGTTGTGAAGGCTGAAAGGGTTTATTACTTTAGGGCTCAACAATAAGGATGATTTGACGGCCTGAGCCCAGAGTGAAAGTATTTCAGGTCAGTTGATGGTAGGCCAAAAATTTAATATGGAGTCTACCCTGAATATGGTTCATTATTAACAGATCAGTAATTGATGATTTCCAGCAAGTGTTTATGAAGTGTAGAACTGCCATAGAGATATATTGTAGCAGTAAAATTGAGTTTGTACAAATTATTCACAATTTAAATCTTTTTTTTATAATAATTTTCAGAAAATCTGTCATATATCATTTTCTGATAATTATAAACAATTTTTGCAATTAATTATTTTATAATTGTAATAAAATATGGGGTCAGGGAAAAGGCTGAATGTGAAAGTATGAACTACAGAAAAAAATCCTTATTGTCCAGGCCTGTTAGTTCCTTGATCATTTGAAATGCATTTAAGAGATAAACATGACGATCAGATCTCAAAAGCGTTATAAATACAGGCATCAACCCGAGTCGGTCTCTCTCCACAGCCCTAAAAAGAGTGCAACCCTCAGCCTGTTCATTTGAATGGGCTGCTGACATGTCACTATTCACTGGGACACGAGCCCAGAACGTTCCACAGAGCTAACCTTGGGACAGAGGATGGCTTCGGACCAACACTCGCAGTCGGAACCCCAGCGGATCACACAACACAGATCTAGGCGGAGCACCGGCACCAATTTTGGACAACGCTAGAAAGATATGCACACATATGAGCCATGTTCGAGGTCAAAATATCCATAAGTGATTTGTTGACCAGTATAATATAATAGCAGTGTGGTAAGCAGCATATTGATAAATTAGATTTCTACATTTTTACCTCAGATATATTTATTTTATCTAGATTTATAATACCAGTCCCCATAACAAATAATAATAATCATCAGTTTCAAGCATCCCAAAGCTGTGGAAGTGATTCAGGAAGGACTCCAGGACTCATAACAGCAAAATTAATGAAAAACTTGTTTTTAATGAGCATGAGTTTGATCTATTTTCAGGTTTGAAATATTACCTTTAATCCACAAATGTGATTAATAAATGTGATAATCCAGTGAAATGGTTTAACAGCATTAAAAAAAAAAAGGTCAAAATGAACCTCAACACAAAGTGCAGAGGTCTCATGACAGCCTGACATTTCAGAGTCATATTTGGCACTAATTCCGGTTTACCAGGCCCTAGTTTCAGCATTGAAAAATGTAGAATCAGCATTCCTTAAATATCCATAACACAGTGGCTGACCTCCACGTGAATCCAGTCCATCTACTGCAGGCAGGTTGAGCAACAAGGTTTGCGATCAATGCTGTGAAGAATGTCTCAAGTAGCACAAATGGACAAAACTAAACTGCCTTGGTCTGAATTCATGTTATTAGAATGTAATGTTGGCCACATGTCATAATAAACACATGATACTACTACTACTAGCAAAAACAATCTTTATTAGGATGAGCAAACTTAAATTAACATTAATACAACTCAAAACATTGAACCAAAAATATGAATAAACAGCCGTATTTAACAATGATGCGATGAAGAAAGTACAGTGACACAAAGAGACTTTAGTGAACTCTACTGAGTAATGAATCAGCAAATCTATGTTTGGACTACCCAATTAAAATGAGTTATCCGAGCAGTGATTCACTAAAACTGATTGAACGAAATGATTCAGATTTCCCAAAGCCATCTGTCAGAAATTCTCATTACTGGAAAGGCTACATTAATAAAGATTTTTAAAAGAAAAAAGTTACACTACTGAAAAAAATTAGTTAGCTAATAAGCTACTAGCAATACTGCTTAAAAGTCAGATAATTTGATAAACATGTTTCTTGGTGTTCCACAAAATAAATAAAGTCATACAACATGAGGGTGAGTAAATTTCATTTTTGGGGTGAACTATTATTCCTTTTAAACTACCTGTGAAGCACCAGGCTTGGAACCAGTTAGATAAGACTATCACTTGAGACAACAAATCGATAGCAGTGACCTGTGGAACTGCAAGAAAAGTGCAAACTAAGAGGAAAGTAAAGACTCTGCTGTTTGTGCTTCCCCTCCAGTGTCACTCAAGCCATTACGTTGGTCGATAACACCGGACATCATTATGTCCCTTTAATGACTGTTTCTGCAGGCTCCTGACCGAAGACATCTCTACAGGCTACTCTCCAGAGGACAGCCAGGGACTCAGAGGAACGTAATGTAGAAATTCACACGGCCAACCCCTGATCCAAGAACAACCTCTGAATTACTTCAACTATTGGCACCTTAAGACTGTGCCAAGGCTCCAACTTCCTTTTGATGGCAAATCGAGTCCAATTTGATTCTCTCTTCACCATCATGTCAATTTGATAGCAAAGGGACTAATCTAAACACCTTGTAAATAAAATCATTGTTTAGACTATGCACCGGAATTTCAGCAACTGAAAATATTCAGCCGAATATTGTGGCCAAAATAGTTTTGGTGGGACAAAATTGG